CCCCCCCCCCCAAGATTTTGATTAACTTCGCCCCAAATGTATCTCCTCCTACAAATTCAGGATGAAACACCTCAGACATAGCTGAGTGTTGGCACAAAACTACTATTTGAATTTTTGGTATCTTTTTTCATTACCGAGAAATTTGACCCCTAAGTTGGGGTTACAGTTCACCAAGAATTGCTTTTTAACTCTTCTGTGGTTTTTTTGGCTTGGCTGATTTTGTTCATACTTCACAGGCAGGTTATACCGCCACTAATTGGAATACTTTCGCCCCAAATTTTATTACCTATTACCAGTCTTGTAATAGCAGTGTTTAAATGGTCATGCTTTTTTATTTTGGCTATGTTGCCTGCACACTGGCAAGAGATCACCGGTGCCAACATTGTTACACTGTATCAACGTAATCCCAACGCATCTTTGAACTTTTAATGAACTGTTAATGCTGCCTTCAATCTAGAAAATACTAATGCAAAACGGTTGGAAATAATAAATTTAACAGCAGAATACGTCCTAGCAATAAAATAAAGTGACTTCTAAAGACTGAGTGTTTTTTTGGCCAACTTCGTATACGGTGCCCGGTGCCTACCGTGACAACAGCCGAAAACATGCTTGTTTTTTTAGTGGAGCTGATCGCCAACCAGCCTACCGGCTTGTTTTAGTATAAGCTAATATCAACTTGTCAATAATTATGGGATGATTTTGTTTATTAATGGAATACTGTGTGATGACGCTATTTTCAAGGCACAACTGATTCAGACTCCTATATTGACCATGTCCCGGGCTGTTTACTAGTACCAATCATGGAGCTAAAAAAGATTTAGCTCCATGTACCAACCTACTTACTTGTCAGTGACTAACTGTTATATACAGCCATGGAGCTAATTGATACAGCTCAGAACACGTCAGAATAGTAAAAAAAAGTCGGCTAATGTCAGTTGCCCGAGCCATGAGAGCCGGCCACAGAACCAAAACAATCTGTCAGCCTTCGCCGCCCACAGCATCGATATGATTTTATATTGCATAGAAATGAATACTAAATGCTATCGAACCTGAAACAAAAGTAACAACAAACGTTTTTGAAATGAATCAATGTTCTGGTTATCTCTGGTGCGACTGCATGTCTTTGGAACAAACTTGAGGAACTGTAAAACGCAATTTATGGTACGCGACTTAAAAACACAATTTACACATGAATTTCCCAACAAAGGTTTAAATGTTTTAGTTGTATGTGGTGTGGCACTAGTGTGGAAAGCTGTCGAATAATATGGCAACAACCCTCGAATGCGTTGTTATGCTAATTTGATTTCCGGCATGTTAGTTGACAATGAAATGAAAGATTTCTTGAATTTTCGGCGATAGCTACGTGGATTTGAACCAAAATGTTATCGGCAAGACTCAGAATGCGACAGTGACAGACACTAAAACTAATTGAAGGCAAATGAACACGTCAAGCAAAAAAACTTTTTCCAGTTGTAGCTAAAATGGAGGCACATACCATTTTGACTCTTGAGGGGAATGGAAATCCGTTGATTTGAGGGTGTCACAATAAGCAAGGGAGTAAATCGTTTTTATACTATGAAAAAAATGAAGACATTGAACGTGCTTTTTGGACTTTAGTACAACGTCATTTTTGTTTGATTACCTAACGTTTTTAGGTTCATGTGCTATAAGTTATAGAGCCCATACCTAAGCGGCCGTCTCTCAGCAAATAATGAGCAACATAGAGCAAAGATGTGATTAGCTACATGTTTTAAAAAGTTCGTGTGCAACATTTATTTATTAACACATAACATTCCCCGGAGGGGATGAAAAGAGTTACAAATCAGATATTAGTAAAAGAAAAATAACTTTATGAAAAATAAAGAAACATAAAGCATAATTTCAAAAGAAAAAAAAAATGCTGAAAATTTGTATACAAGGAATGTGTTACTGGCTTAGTTTATGAGATGCTGGTGTTTTGTATTAAAACAGTGTGCATGTATATGATGACTTATCACATGGCCTGGAATTGTTTACTATTATACTCAATTAAAAAATGCTTATCCTTTTAATTAAAGAACACTACTTGCTCATTTCGGACACCTGGTACCATTGCTGAGACCATCGTCAGGGGTTCATTATGGTATTTTGCTAATGTGATTTTTGTCTTGTGATCCTGGCAACTTTTTGTTGCTTTGAATGGCATTGGACACTCCTCCTGTTTTGGCATTCTGATTTACTGTGATATAACAATAATACTAGTCTGAATATCCTCTGGATAAACTGGATAAAATCATCTGCATTGTGACCAATATTTTGAAGTGGACTGCACCACAACAAATAGCATAATTATATGCATAATAAATAAATAATTAGCATGTGACTACAGAAATATATATGTCTGAAGACTATTAATACGGTGGGTTCTTTTTTAAATTTAATGTCACTGTCAGAAATTAAATCTATTATTTATTTTGTTTGTATTTTTTAATGTCGAATATTTTCTTGAAGTGTATTGTGATTTTTTAGAACATTTTGAAATATTATAGCAATGGAGTATATGTAAAAACATTTATGCCTTAATGGAATTTACTGTATTTATTATCAGCTCGTCATTTCTTTAGTATTTACTTATATATTCATTTTGTGTCATTATAAATTTAATTTTACTATGGCTTGTTTGAAGACAGTGCTTGACTAGATGAGAAGAGCACGATCAACAGTTCAGTGTTTTCTTTCAAAATGGCTGGTTGATCAAGGTGTACATGATAGAGTTGTTGTGGTTTGTTTTTGTTTATTTGGGTACTTTTTGATTTGTTTTTGTTTACTTGGGTACTTTTTGATTTGTTCGGTTTATTTTTGTTTATTTGGGTACTTTTTGATTTGTTTTTATTTATTTGGGTACTTTTTGATTTGTTTTTGTTTACTTGGGTACTTTTTGATTTGTTGTGGTTTGTTTTTGTTTATTTGGGTACTTTTTGATTTGATGTGGTTTGTTTTTGTTTATTTGGGTACTTTTTGATTTGTTTGGCTTGTTTTTGGTCATTTTATTTTTAATGGCCGAATGTTAAATGACATTTTTGCCTATATCTGGAAAAATGGATTTGGCAGAGATTCCAAATTTGTTATGTTCAAGTTTAAAAATTATTAAAATCTGTGAGCTTAGCTACCACAATCTGATCAATAAATATATACTCCATAAATCTGTGGATTGTGGACTAGTAATTACAAAATGCTTTCAAATACTGCTTTGTACTGAATTGAAGGTATTGGTTGACAAATCATCCCCTGAAACTAACAACAAACATTTTCTCATTCTACATGTCACATTTCACACATACACAAAATTTGAACAACAAAAAATGTATGAGCTAGGCATTTCAAACCGACACATTAATCATCTAAGTTGTGTTTAATTATTTCAGTATATAAGCATTCACATTAGACCAGATGAGATGATGGGATTCAATGGTACAACCGATTCATGTGCCCATGTAACACTGGTTTGTATTGGCAAAATTGGGCTAGAAGAAAACAAGGTTTATAGCAAGGCAATCATGGAATGGCTGAATACCAGACTTGGAATTGATGCTACTCGGTAAGTTAATTGTATGATGGTCTTAATGGATTATAGGAATTACGGGATAGCTCAACTGTAACAAATGAACTGTAGGATAGCTCCTCTATTAGCTAACTCTAGGCTTGTAGTATAACAATTATAGGAAATATGGGATAGCTCAACTGTAACAAATGAACTGTAGGATAGCTCCTCTATTACCGTACTCGACCGCGTTAGCGCCCAGGGGCCTCAACTCAGAAAATCACGATTTTTTAGGGGTGGGCGCTTACCCGAGCACCCCCCTCGAAAAAGTGTGCAAATGAAAAATTTGATTCATCAAGTGACAGATTACGTCTTTGAGGGAAAATCAAATTACCAAATTAGTTGAGTCGTCATTGATTTTCACAATGAAGAAACAGAAATGATCACAAAAAATATGCACATTTTATTACAATATTAATTACGTACCACCAGAATTTACGAAATTAAAAACATTTGAGTCTGTTGAAACAGTCAAAGTCAAAATTGTCATGTTATCTCCACTGACGAAGGTGTTGGATCATACGCAAACTCTCGATAAAATCACTTTCCGCCATGATGCATTTGCAGATTTGACCTGCAGCAGCATCCTCTGTCCTAATGGGTCAAGTTGTTTATTAACCAATCAGAATGCTGTGTTGTACTGACACAATTTTTCGTAAATTCTCGAAGACTTTCCGGTAGCGCAATGCGGACGTAAATTATCGATATCGAAGTACGATCTGTTGGAATTGATTGCATCGAATAAACGACATGGTTTTTCCAAATAACTAGTAACTAGCCATTTTTGAGAGGTAAACTGAATATGGCATGAAATATTTATCGCTTATACTCAAGGACCACCTCAGAAAAATAATTTTTTAGTGCGTTTAAAACTGTAACTATCTTCCCAGCCTCGAAACATTATCCAAATTACATTTTTCGTTCACAGTGCGGGTCTCGGAAGAATATTACGTCTTTTTGAGAAAACAAAAAAGCTAAACAAATCGTCATTGATTTCAACAACGCTTTTTACACTGATTACCGTAAAAACTCGATTAATTCACGGTCTCTATTAATTCGCGCACCCATTTTGTTTTCGAACGCTAATTTTTAAATGTATCCTTTTAATTCGCGGCGTTCAAAAACATGTTTAAAATTGTATCCTATTAATTCGCGGGCCAGAATAAAGTGGATAACTCAGAATATATTGCATGAAGACATTAAAAATATACATTTTGTTTGAGTTGTTATGTTATCAGTACTTGGTGTAGCCACAATCGCAGATGATCTCCGTCATCACAGCCTTTCAGTTAGCAAGCAGTTTAGGTTCGGTAAAGATTTGACCTGAAAAAAATCATTCCCTCACGACACTACAGATGTTGGGCAAGATTATTACTTAGTCGGATAAAAATCCATCGGTCAGCACATCGATTACGAATTTCCGTGATGGAAAGCTTAGTACAGGGCTTTTTCGTCGCTGGTCCACAGGGTTGCATCGACCGTGTGTCGGCCATTATTCTATTATGTCGTTTAAGTGAACCGCCCTATGGTGCGTAAATTGACGTTTTTGATTGGTCGGACGATTGGCCTTGTGTCACATTTTCATTATACCGGATTGAGTAAAAAACAGAGTTAAGCGGTCATGTTCTATAAATCTAACCTTGCACACATAATCTTGTACTGACGTATTTTTTGTCCAAGAAAGATGTTCCTTTTCATTTAACACCCAGTTAACTCTTCGCATCCATGGTATTTGTGAGAGTTGAAAGATTTTTTGAACAAATGACAAGTAACTATATTGATTTGCGTCAAGCTGGGTAGGCCCGAATTTACATATCAGTGCATAAACTCTGGAGGTCATCGCCCAATGCCGCACGTAATTCAAACGTGAGGTTAAAAAAAAAAACTAATTATCATGAAAGCAATACATTACGAAATTGAAATATTCAGAGCCGGTACAATATTGTAAACAAATTTGCCTAATTAGAAAAGCAGTGCACTAAGTAAACGACGTTGATATATTCAAAGCCAGTACAGACTTGCATACAAGTTGTGTAATTACAGTACCTTCAGATATAATAACAATTTTACTAGATTTATGCACGGGGCACGAAAGAAAAAGATTGCTAAGGTAACGCGCCAGTTCAGTGTGTGACTTGGGGTCAAACTTCGGTCAACACACACTTGATGTCAGCATCGCCGCGCAGCAAGTTTGCAAAAAGTACTTGAAGTTCAATTGCGTCCTAAAATGATGTCGCTGATTACTCAGTTGTCGCAGCGTGTGTTGTGTTATGTCCATGATGCACCCCGTTTCGTCTTTGGCTTGCTTTTCCTTCTTATTGCATGTTCTTGTTCACGTAAAATGCTACCTCTCACCAATGTATTGAAACACTTTGAATTTACACTTTGCATGATTATATTTGGTCAACGCGAAATAATAATTTTTTCTAAACATTTTTTGAGATCATTTTTATCAATGCAGGGTTATTTTTCCAGACAAGATGGGCTTTGTAATATCTGCCATCGCCCGGGCGATGCCTAGAAAAATAAAAAAAGGGAGTGCAACCAGACGGCTACTTTGTAGCTACTTTGTAGCTACTTTGTAGTGTTCATTGCAGGGAGGGAGTTGCATGACACGATTGGCTGAAATACTCGTCTCATTTGCATAAATTAATATTCATGAGCAATGAAAAACTCGTCTTTTCAGTAAAATTGTGCCAAAATGCTTTCCGATAGCATACATGTTAGTTCTAAATTGACCGATTCTATCGTTACAAGCTGGAAAAATTATCGGAAAAATGATGTAAAGGTATTTTTTGAGACGCGTTTTCGAGCGGACTCCAGCTAACTGTTGAAAGTAAGCACAGATTTTCTCTTTACCCTGATCATAGCAAGTTGCGATATTCATAGAGAATGCAGAGGCACGTTTAAATTTCACTCTAGTATTATTGCTCAAAATTGCTCAAAATGTTTTCGGTGACTTTTATTAGTGACAAGTTACCTAATTAGTATGCATTTCGAGAAACCACAGTGTGTGTGCATGCGCAGTTTGAAATGGAACAGATTTGAACGCAATACCATCATGCGTAGAACTCGGGCTCCAGCAATAAATTGTGGCGTCAAACTGGTCGTTGGTTGAATTGTTTTGCAATAGACATAATTTTGGGGCCTATTTGTCTATGAAATGTTTCTCTAAGTTTTGTTGTGGATTATTCTGTAAAGAAATTGCTGAAATTATTTCATCTGTTTGAAAACGGGACGTTGTTGCTTTGACGATGGGCTACGGGCGACTGACGTCGAAACGTTCCATTCAGATCGGATGGCGCCCTCTCATGCCAATCCCCCCCTGGTTCATTGTTTGTTTGTGTACAGAGTGACATTTGCCATTTCACTGTTTCATTTAAAGTGTAACATGGTGCGTGATCTTTGACGCAGTGCGTGTTCTTAGCCATGAATGTCGCTAGCCACGAGTCTCAGAGGCACTAAAAAAACGTCCTGTAATCGTGTTCATTGGAAAACAAAACAAATCACTAATAAATTTATGAAAACAGCTCCTTTTTGAATCGATCTAAAAGTACTCTTTTAATTTGCGCACCAAAAACCAATAATTTCCGTTTTTACGCTATTAATTCGTTCATTAACCAATGAAAATGCTCTGTCATACTGTCAAAGTTTTCCGATTGACAAAGTATTTTTATCAACGTAATGCGTATTACCACGATGTTACTGAAAATGCAATCTGTTAACACCGATTTTGACAAAAAACGGTGACTTTTTTCCCTAAAACCTGTTGATTCACAATTTTCGAAAGGTAAATTGAGGGTCAGGGAAGTATTTGAACCTTTCACGGCCGCCAACAAGTCATGTCGAAAAATAGTTTGCTTGTTCACACCCCTATTCACGATAGTCTCAATTAACAAGATTATTTGGAAAAGTAAAACGATGATAGTGACCAGGTTTCACAACTTAACGATCACATTTTTGCTGTTTGGAAAACTACTACTCTAAAGAAATATGGATTATTTCAGTATTGCAACATCAGGGTTCATCCCGAGTAAATAACAGAATAGAAAATGTGCAAACTATGTACGTTCACCCGCCGTGCACTCTGAAATTAATGCGAGTTTTCTCGTAAAAGCTGGAACC